TTTAACTGTTGCCATTACAAACCGAAAATATATACTACAAAATATTTATATTTATTTTAGGTTCAAATTGTCTTGAACATAGTTGGGGCCGGGCCAGGGTTGGTGCAGTAAATTTGTTAAAAGAAAAAGATATTCTAAGTTAAAAGTATAATTGATTTAAATGAATAATGAGTTTTCTTTTATTGTCCATCTATAGGAAGTGGACATAATTTTCTAAAAGACCTAGTGTATATTTTATTACCCATTTTTACTTCAGCAACCCTGACTCTATCATCAGGTCCAGGAAATATTTTAACAATTCTGGCCATGGGCCAATTTAAAGGAGAAAGATTATCATTTTTTACAATGACAAGATCTCCAACTTTTAAATTATTATGTGGATGCAACCACTTTGGCCTGCTCTGCAATTGGGTCAGGTAGTCACGCGACCAAGCTTTCCAGAAATCTTGCTTTAATTTAGAATTTATCATAGTCAGCCTTATTGAGAAAATACTTAATTCTACTGTCTGATTTCAATCGTGGGAACAGACAACACGAGAGCATTATGATACGGATCAATTGGAACAAGCGGGTCCATGCAATCGGACACTTGAATTGTCATACTAGATAATACCAAATCTAAGATTTTTCCTGTTTTATTTAATACTCCATTAAATTGGCTAAAATTATGTGTGTATAATTCATCAACCAATCATATTTCATCAGGACTACGATAATTAGTAGGTATATATAAGCCGTGCTGAAAATCCCAAGTAATACCACTCAAGTTGAAATCGCCTACAATTAAATATTGATCGTGTGGTTTAACTTTAACATTATCATTAAGCTTAGACAAAAATTGGAAAATTTTTGAGAAAAAGATAGGCCTAAATTTTGATTACATAAGTACGGAACGCATATATGTTGACAGCTAATGGAGACTCGGAGTGTCTTTGTTATAATATAATAATAATATTTATTTCAAGAAAACACATTTCATATGAGACAACTTTACATATACGTATCTTAACTTAACTTAACCTATGAGAATTAAACAAAGGCGTCGCGACGCACCTATAATATTTGTGTAGATTAGGTAGACAATAAGTGTTGAAATTGGACAATAACTTAGAAATAATATTAGTTTTTAAAAGTGCTGTTTTAGAATAAGACATCGATTCACTGTTTACTACGATAACGGTTGAACATCTGTTTGGGTACCAGCGTTCATTTGGCATTCATTGTTTAGGAACACAATGAATATTTGTTGGCATTTTGTGATAAGATAACACCGTTACTATTTTCTAGCCATCGGGTTTATGATGACCGTAGGGTTTCTTATTGTAAACATATTCTTATTGTAGACTAATGGACTGAACACGGTAATTCATGTCTTTATGAATATTGTCCAATCCGTGTTTACAGTGCATTGTAGTTAGGCAAGGAAATTGTTTATTGCACCAATGTTAAATATTCTTGGGTAGAGTTGTAAAATGCAATGCATTCTTTATGAGTAACTGTTAGTTTGTGAGAATAAATAAGTAAGGGAATTTGGGCAATGTGAAAGGATATTGTTATGAAGTTGTATAACGTTGTGCATTGTCTGATAGAAATAAGGTTTGGTTTATTGCCAGTAAGAATTTTGTAAGGACTGTAGTCCTCACTACAGTCTATATCTCCCATATATAAGGCGAGGAATTTTTGTATTAAGTTATCCCCTCCGATCGATCCCCCGTCCAATTCAAACGGGGATCGAAATTACGACGGCCTGAGCCGAGGTTCGAATCCCTAGTGGTGCCCTCAGACTAAAGTCGTATCCGTCAGGCAGGAGTTGGCCTTCAGCCGCTCCATAAGTCCTTCCGCGGGTTTGGAGTACCATCTGCACTCGCCCCATAAATAACGTCCGGTGAAGCTGTAAAAGCCAGCTACGGCCAACAGCATTAGAGTAGTCCGAAAAAAAAAAAGTATTAAGTTAGTTATAATCGAGAAGTTATAATGGAGATATAATCGAGTTACAATCGAGGAGTTACCATCGAGAATTGTACTCAGACAGTCATAGTCGGATTGTTTTACACCGACGGCTGTTAAAATCAAACACAGTACGGACGGCAGTTATAGTCCGTTATTATTGTAAAGTCAGTCGCAGTAGTTTCCTATAGACACCATACAGTCTGAGCTACAGCGGCTGAAACTTGAATGTAACATCGTATACGGCTATAACTCAATTGTGAAAATTCTGTGGAGAATAGAATAGAATAGAAAATCATTTATTCAAATAAACGTAATTTAAGCACTTTTGAATAGTCATAACAATTTGTTTTTTATCTACCACTCGTTCGGAAAGCTGTCTCATCACAAGAAGAACGAGCAAGAAACTTGTGCGTTGCTCTTTTAAATAATTCTTGTAAGTTTACATTTACAAGTCGGAACGTGTGAATACAAACTACAAACAAGCACTAATTTTTTGGGTCAAATATAAATATGCAATAAGATTAAATCAGTCGTAGTGATAAGAGCAGACCAGTCCCTACAAGCAGCACTCGTTCACGAGTATGACGGATGAGCCAGCCATCACTGCGCTCGACCATATTTTAGGGAGCCCAAAGACCCGGCCCACCACGCCGTCACATGTCTGGACATTTTAGTGAGCATGACTACTCATTCCACACGACCACGTCACAGCTACAAAAATTACTATATGGTAGTTACAGTATTCGCACTTTACATAAGGATGCACGCGGCAATCAATACAAAAGCCGCTACGCTATCATATATCAAGAAAGCAGTATGAAAATAAAAATAAAAGAGAGAATAAACAGGCTTCAACAGACAACCGTTTCTTTCAAACCCCATCGATACAGTCCACTGCTCTCCCTGAGAAGCGGTCGCCAAAAGTGATGAGTTGTGTTCATTTACAACGGTCTCTGCACTAAGCATAGCTTGTATCGCAGGGGCCAGACTATGTTTTACCTATTTAGTTTGTTTTAGGACAGTCAGTTCTAATACAGTATCTATATTAAATTTTAATCTAAGTGGCAAATTATAAAACTATATTTTTCGTATAGTAGTAATTTATTAATTAAAATAAAGATTAAGCGTGTATGTGTGTTTATATGTTTGCGTGTGTGTGTGCGTTTGGATATGTTTGTTTATGTCTTTGGAGTTATATGTTTTGGAGTTATATAGTTTTAGAAGCCAGGTCTCTGCAGTTTCCTTAGTCTGTCCTGACGATACTGTGAGTACAGTTTGCCGAGATGAATATCGAGCGAGTTCCAGTAGTAGCAACAAACGAAGACGTGTGAAGGAAGACGCATATGTGTGCCCATAAAAAGATTTATTTTCCATCTACCCGCTGCTCTTCAGTTTACCCGTGATCATGGTTGAAACACTGCCGAAATATCGGGAACTCAATAAAAATAAAACGTGGTAAGATCCCGTGACTTTTACTAATCTATACATATAAATAAAATTGGAGTGTCTGTTTTGTAATATTGATATAACCGTTTTTTACTATATGCATATGGATATAAATACGGTACATACACCAAAATATCATTTTTTACAATTTTTTGTTTGTTCCGGCTAATCTCTGAAATGGCTGGACCGATTTTGAAGGGACTTTTATTGGCAGGTAGCTGGTGTAATAAAGAGTAACTTAGGCTACTTTTAACTTAGAAAAATAAAATAAAATTCCACGCAGACGAAGTCGCGGGAACAGCTAGTATAATAATATGAATATAAAACCTTTCTGTGATTACAGCACTCTACATGCCATTATACTAACCATCAGTTTGTTTGTCAGTCCTATTAGTGTCAAAAAAGTGCGGTTGCAATTCCCAGCAGAGACTGATAGATCTGCGAGCGCATATTTCAGCATATCACCATCCACCATCCACCATCGTGTATCCTCACCGTTGCCATATATCAGCACACGGCGTCGCCGCAAATTTGTCACCCAACAAAGCTTTACAATGCATCCGCAATTTATTACAGCGGACGGTCGCAACGGGTGAAAACCACGGATCGCCGCCAGTCGCTCACCTCGATAAAACAATGGGTTTTTTTATTAAGTATTTTACGGCCCTGGAAATCTCCTTTCAGCCAAACAATTACATTCTACAAATACAAATCAACTATTAATTACATCTATAGCGTCCTTATAGTATTGAGTATGAAGTCGTATAAAAATGGATAACTTTCTGTATTTTGTAGGATAACAGGTACTGTTTTAACTGTAGATTTGTTACTTTAACACTGAAGTCCCTGTTTATTGTTTATTCCTAATTTTTACTGTTTTCAAATTTATCGTTCAGCGACACCTATTTATTACAGTATGCAAATATTCTTTAACGACCACTATCCAATGATATAATGACACTAGATCTATAAAAAGGTAAGTAAGGGACAAAAATTTGTATGTAAAAGTATGTATGATTAAAAAGGTAAATGAGAACGAAAATACTGAAGATGAGGCAATTAAGTTTGAAAGTGGACAATAATCTATTTTGATTTTTGTTTATAATATTATGATTATTAACTCTTGGATACTAAAAAAACTATTATTGTTTTAATTATATGAGGAAAGCATGATGTTAGCGACAGACCTCCTTTTATAGATATTTCTATTTTTAAACCATATATTTTTTATTGTATTTGTTGGCGACAGACCTCTTTTTATAGATATTTCTATTTTTAAACCATATATTTTTATATACAATTTTTGACATATATTTTTTATTATATTGTTTTTCTACATTGTGTCATATACGCTACCACTAAATACATCTATATTACCAATTTTACGGCTGGCAACGGCAGTGAAATAGGGTAATATAAATAAAATTACTTACCAAAATTATAGTGATGTATTTAGTGGTAGCGTATATGACACAATGTAGAAAAACAATATAATAAAAAATATATGTCAAAAATTGTATATAAAAATATATGGTTTAAAAATAGAAATATCTATAAAAAGAGGTCTGTCGCCAACATGGCACGCCCCGGTGCAGAGCACCAATCTATAGTGGCGACTGTGCGCAGTTTTCTTGGGTGCCCTGCTCTAGGAGTAAGGGCAACACTTTGCGCACTGGTCTTTTCAAGATCCCCATGCTTCCCCGGATCTCCACCACCCTGACCACTCCGTCAGGACCGGTGAATATCTTAGAAATACGGCCTTTGGGCCAGGTTCCTCGCGGAAGATTTGGATCCGCCACCAGAACTGGATCTCCCACTTTGAATTTGGCTTGCGTCGATCCGGCCTTTCGTGGAATCAACGTGGGTAGGTATTCATGAAGCCATCTGGCCCAAAACAGCTCCGCTAACCGCAGTACCTTCCTGTGGTCTAAGCGACGGCAAAGATCTGCATCGGTGCGGGGACAGACCAACTCGGTTGATGGTGTGCCCAATAAAAAATGGAAGGGTGTGAGGGCCTGTAGTGTCTCCGGCTCTACTGGTACGTGTGTCAGCGGGCGAGAATTGACTACTGCTTCCGCTTCCAGAAGTAGGGTACTCAATACTTCCTCTCTTGGAGCTTGTTCTTTCAGGGTTACGGAAAGCGCAGACTTTATTGATCGCACTAAGCGTTCCCACGCACCTCCCATTGATGGTGCCGCTGGACAAATGAAGACCCACTCTATTTTATGGTTGGCCGCGAAGTCGAAAACGTCTGTGAGTTGGTTGGCTGCGCCGACAAAAGCCGTGCCGTTATCTGAGATGATTCTCGCTGGACATCCTCTACGAGCAATAAATCTTCTTAGGGCCATGATAGCAGCATCTGCGGAAAGGCTTCCTACGATCTCCAAATGAACGGCTCTGATGGTAAGGCATGTGAATAGAGCTACCCAGCGTTTTTCTCGTCTGCGCCCAACGGCAACTTCAACTGGACCGAAGTAATCAAGACCGCAGAAGGAAAACGCGCGCTGATGATGGGATAACCTATCTTCAGGAAGATCACCAAATTGAGGCGTAGATGGGAGAAGCTTCCTAATCCTACAGAAACTGCATTGTTTGGCAACAGACCTGACACTTGGGCGTAAAGCTATTATATAAAATTTGCCGCGCAGGAAGTTAACGACGGTCTCGATATTACCATGACCAAATTTCCGATGATAGTGATCGAGAAGGAGTTTTATAATTGGATGTCGACCGTCTAAAACAATAGGGTTAATGTCCTGCGCGGGTGCATCTAATACAGCACGAATTCTTCCATTTAAACGGATTAAACCGTCTTCTCCCAACATCAACACAAGACCTCTAAGCCTCCCTTGATTAGTTGGGGGAAGACCCGCGGTAAGCCTCAAGAATTCGTGTTTAAATGATTCCAATTGAGTATATAAAAATAGGTGCCTCTCGGCCTCCAAGATTTCTGCGGCCGAAAGAGGTTTCAAAACTTTGAAGGAGACCTTGGAGGCAGCACTCTTTAATTTTGAATTTGGAGGTTTTTTCAAAAGCGACCGAAATATTTTAGCACAATGATGTGCACGACCGGTTGCTCTAACCAACCGAACCCAACGACCGAAATGATCGTGATTCGCTACGATCGGAGATGGCATTTCCGGATGTTCGGTTAGCAAAAATGTTAACGCGTGTTCGGGTTTTAGTTCCTCAATTACTAGTGGAGCAATGACCGCAGGCTCGCGAGGCCATTCGTCTGGTGGAGACAAAAGAAAATCTGGACCAGTATACCATCGAGAGGAAGAGGAAAGAGAGTATAGACCGCGTGTAGCATCATCTGCTACATTTAAGGCCGATGGAACATAACGCCAATTGGCAACGTTTGTAGTCTCTAATATTTCTCCTACACGGTGAGCAACAAACGGCTTAAACGTGCGGGCATCGCTACGCAACCACTTTAAAACCGTTAGGGAATCCGTCCAAAAGAAAACTCTAGAAGCAACAAGACGGTGTGCCTCCAGGATGTAAGTTGCGAATCGAGAAGCCATGAGAGCCGCCTGTAACTCGAGCCGTGGGATAGACACAGGCTTTAAAGGGGCTAGGCGCGCTTTGCCACCTATAAGAGCCAAATGAACAGATTGGTCCTGGTGGACAAAACGCCAAAACGCCACACAAGCGTAAGCGGATTCACTTGAGTCGGCTAGGACGTGGAGCTGGCATTCCGCAGCAAATCTGGTTCGGTAACAGCGTGGTATTTTAATTTTGGCCGAGACTTCTGCTATACCGGCGAACCAAGTCTGCCACTTTGCCTTAGCAGAGGCGGGCAACTCCTCGTCCCAGTCAATACCCATTCTCCATGTTTCCTGAAATAAGATGCGACCGGCGATGGTTAGTGGCATCAAAAATCCAAGAGGATCGTAAACCTTCATGAGATGGGACAAGACTACTCTTTTTGTCACATTGGTAGGCAGTTCTGTGGACTTTCTAAAATTAAGAGTATCTTCCTTGATGTTCCAGGCCACCCCTAAAATTCTAACTTGCGAAGGAGATGTCGGTCCGAGACCTACCTCGGATGTGTCGGCAGCCCACAAGTCAGGACTTATTGTTGTAAGCGCTTTGGGGTTGTTGGATACCCATGAGCACATCTCTAAACAGGCTTCTTTATGCACGGTAACGATATCTGCAACTAATCGAGCGGCGAGTTCTGGGCTGTCTACACTTCCAAGGTAGTCGTCCATGTAATGGTCTCTAACAATAGCCTCTGCTGCTTCGGGAAACTTAGTCTGGTGCTCTAAAGCATTTTTATTTTTTAGAAAAATGGCGGTGCACGGACTGGAGGTGGCGCCGAAGATCATGGAAGACATTCTATATTCTGCTATAGGTAGAGAAGGATCGTCTCGCCAGAGAAAACGTTGTGCATCTCTATCTTGTGCCCTAATTTTTGTTTGCGGGAACATTTCACGAATGTCTCCGTTGAGGGCTACCTCACCTTCCCTAAAACGCATGAGAATTCCTAATAAGGGTTGTAAGAGGTCAGGACCAGGGAGTAGCAGAGAATTTAGGCTAACTCCTGAACATTTAGCTGCGGCATCATGAACGAGCCTCAGCTTTTTCTTTTGGGGGTGATATACTCCAAAATGAGGCAAATACCATAAATTACCTAAAGGAGGTACATTAGTACAAAGCTCTGCGTAATCTTTCTCTATCATCCCATTTATATACTGTTTATAAGCTTCGGCATAATTTTGATCCTTTTTAAACTTTCTTTCTAAACTATGAAATCTGGATAAAGCTAATTTATAACTGTTTGGAATTGAGATGATATCAGGTCGCCAGAGCAAACCAGTCTCAAACCTACCTGACGGAAGACGTTGGGTGGTTTCATTTAAAATAGCCAAAGCTCGCTCATCGTTTATGCTGTGGAAGTCCTTTTTTGTAATGCCAATCGAATCGAGATGATAATGTTCTTTTATTAAAGATTCTAAATCGGAAACCGAGCTATGATGGATAAACTCCGCGGATTTACCCGGAAGCCTACCGAACATTGTCCATCCTAGAACGGTTTGGACAGCCACAGGTTGGTTACGAGAACCGCGTCGGATGCCATGCGGTAATGACAAATGCCAATTGTCAATACCAATTATTAAGAGAGGCTTGGCTTCCTCGTAAGACAGTTCTTTTACCAAATCCTGAAGATGAGAGAACTTTGCAACATCTACAGTACGAATTGTTTGGCATGCTACACCCAAATTAGGTATTGAGCGAACTCGTTTTAAATTAAAGGTTTCGACAGAGTGCTTGCCTTTGATGTTAATATCAATGTAGGTTACTACAGAATCTTTCGCCAAGCCGCCCACACAATTAACTTGAATAGTGCCTTTCGGCCCTTGTGCACCGATTGTGTCAGCTACTATTTGGTCAATCAGAGTAACCGTAGACCCGTCGTCCAATAAAGCGTAAATATCCATCTCACCCTTTGGTCCAGTTACAGTTACCGGCAGCACTTTAAGAAGTGAGCGCGAAGGAGGCGTCTCGCATGGTATCGCACTGCTGCCGTGAGCGTGGGCCACAATTACTGGTGCGACTTCACTCTCCGAACTTACTTCACGTTCGCCAGTTGTTGTTGAACTGTAATGAACAGAATTTGTTAACTGTTTGTGAAGTAACTCATGATGGTAATATCCACCTTTGCAATTTATTACCCTGCAGTTACCTTTGCAAGTCCTATAATAATGTTTGCCCCGCTTGAGACATCTTTGACAAACTTTATTATTTTTAACCCAATCCCATCTATCATTAACAGAAATATTTTTAAATAAATCACAATTTGAGACTTCATGACCATTCTTTTTACAGTATAAACAATAAGCAATAGAGGGAGAATGCAGTAGTCAATTCTCGCCCGCTGACACACGTACCAGTAGAGCCGGAGACACTACAGGCCCTCACACCCTTCCATTTTTTATTGGGCACACCATCAACCGAGTTGGTCCGTCCCCGCACCGATGCAGATCTTTGCCGTCGCTTAGACCACAGGAAGGTACTGCGGTTAGCGGAGCTGTTTTGGGCCAGATGGCTTCATGAATACCTACCCACGTTGATTCCACGAAAGGCCGGATCGACGCAAGCCAAATTCAAAGTGGGAGATCCAGTTCTGGTGGCGGATCCAAATCTTCCGCGAGGAACCTGGCCCAAAGGCCGTATTTCTAAGATATTCACCGGTCCTGACGGAGTGGTCAGGGTGGTGGAGATCCGGGGAAGCATGGGGATCTTGAAAAGACCAGTGCGCAAAGTGTTGCCCTTACTCCTAGAGCAGGGCACCCAAGAAAACTGCGCACAGTCGCCACTGTAGATTGGTGCTCTGCACCGGGGCGTGCCATGTTGGCGACAGACCTCTTTTTATAGATATTTCTATTTTTAAACCATATATTTTTATATACAATTTTTGACATATATTTTTTATTATATTGTTTTTCTACATTGTGTCATATACGCTACCACTAAATACATCTATAATTTTGGTAAGTAATTTTATTTATATTACCCTATTTCACTGCCGTTGCCAGCCGTAATAGTATTGTTTTGCTACATTGTTATTTTATTTATTTTACCCTTTTTTTTATTTAATATTTTACGGCTCTGGATACAAGTAATTCACTGCCGTTGCCAGCTGTAATCATGACATCTGTCTTTTTTCACTTTGCCTACTATTTTCGCCTGTAATATTTTTTGGTGAGCTGTTTTTTGAGATTGGCAACACTGCTTACAGACCTCTTTATTTACTATAAGGACGCTATAGATGTAATTAATAGTTGATTTGTATTTGTAGAATGTAATTGTTTGGCTGAAAGGAGATTTCCAGGGCCGTAAAATACTTAATAAAAAAAAAAGACCTCTTTATTTACGAGTACAACCGTTTCGAAACCACATCGATTTTCGCCGACACAACATTTTTTATTACGTGTATAATGTTGGGTGAAAATGTTGAATGTTTAAGAGGTTTTATTTTATTAATGGTTAATGAGCGTTTTGTGTTAGCAGTTTAGTTAGACGATACAAGTTTGAACTTCAATTTAATAAATTAAAACTTTTAATACAAATATTTATTGTCTTTATAAATATATTAATCCAACACTCGTATGGCTCGCCGATTCCGTATAGCCAGTAAAATATAATTATATCACGGACTACAGTGACAATAGCCAACTAGCGGCCAGCCTTATGGTAAGTGGTAACTGCCGCCTGCACCTGAACAGTTATATATGTAATACTAACTGTGCCCGCGACTTCGTCCCCGTAAAATGACATTTTTTTTTATAACAGAGTGGACAAACAACAGTGGTCATATTCACGTTTGAATGCGAAAAAAGGGTTGTAGGGGGTTGAAAGGGGAGATGAAAGATTATATGGAAGTAACGTACCACCCGCCAGAAACTAAAATACCATTCTGATCATCTGGATGAATGGCGGTCCTCCACAGTGCGGTTTTCTAGAAACTTTTTGCCTCGCACAACCACATTGTGGAGTCACCTTCCAGCAATGGTACTTCCGAACCGATACGATATTGAAACCTTCAAGAAAAGAGCTTATTCCTTCTTAAAAGGCCGACAACGTACTTGCAATTCCCCTGGTGTTGCGGGTGCTCATGGGCGGCGGTAATCCCTTACCATCAGGTGAGCCGCATGCTCGTTTGTCCCCTGTGTTATAAAAAAAAAAGATATGATATTTACAAGTTTGTGTTATTATGTGTGATCTGTAGCAATACAAAAAGGTCGAAGCTCAGTGTGGAACATTGTTCAGGGAACAAAACACTAATTTTCAGCTTCAACCCATTTGAGAGTACGTGAAAATAATAATTAAAATAAAGAGAGCAATATTATTGGTGACAGTCTGTGCGGTATCTTATATATAAAATTCTCGTGTCACAGTTTTCGTTCCATACTCCTCCGAAACGGCTTGACCGATTCTTATGAAATTTTGTGAGCGTATTGAGTAGGTCTGAGAATCAGCCAACATCTATTTTTCATCCCCCTAAATGTTAAGGGTAGTCCACCCCTAATTTTTTTTTATATTTTATGGCAAAACAGCGTTTGCCTGGACAGCTAGTGTGTATATATATTTAAATAGGTTCAGTAGTTTTGACGTGAAAGCAAGATAGACAGACAGACAGACAGAGTTACTTTCACATTTATAATATTAGTTCAAGTAGTAAGGATTTCACTGCCTTATCTCACAGTTTAGCTAAAACATATCTGACCAAGCAAGCTGCTTACCTGATATTTGAAATAAGTCAACGATACAAACAGATGAATTAAAAAAAAGTATTATTATATATATCGGACGGCCTCGGTGGTCTAGCGGTCTAGCACACCGCCTTACTACCGATGGTCGCGGGTTCGATTCCTCGCACGGCACAAACATTTGTATTCATGAGTATGATTGTTTGTATCGGTCTGGGTGTTTTCTATATATAATATGTATGTATTTAATGTAATTGTAATTGTATCAGTTGTCTAGTACACATAACACAAGCTTTAGCTAGCTTAACTTGGGTCTAGATGGCGCTGTGTGAATTGTCCTGAGATTATTATTATTATTATTATTATATATATTTAGTTTTAGTTTAACGTTCAAATTTAACATCTAAAATATATTAAAATCTAACATAAATCTGCCAGAAAAAAGATTCAAATGTCAAATAAAACAGTTCCTTTGCAAAAAAGCTTACTATAAAATTGATGAATTCCTTAACGATAATAATGTTTTTATAGAGAAACTTTAAATCCATAGCACTGACAATATTATCTGATTACACTAATAATGAGTGCGTAGCGATTTCTATGTTGATTATCGCATGCCTCTTACTTGTTATACTGTAATTATTTATATAAAAAAAAACATCTATTAAAAAGAGCAACACACAAGTTTCTTGCTCGTTCTTCTTGTGATGAATCTGCATTCCGAATGAGTGGTAGAATCAAAATATGACTATTCAAAAGTGCTTGTAATGAGTTTATTTGAATAAAGATTATTTCTATTTCTAATGTTTTCTATATCGTCATAGTTTAGACTTAGTAACCAGGACTTGGAATGTCTAATAGCCTGAGAGATTGTGTGGTTCTGAATTTGGCAAAATTTATTCACCACATCGTTCAGTCCTTCATCCATCATTTAGTGTCCCACTATTCCTTCTTTCCACTGCGACGTTTTCCGTGGAATACAAAGACGGGTCGGTTTAGTAGGTAGGCAGGTTAATTTATAATGGATCGGGGCCATTCCCCTTACTATACGGGTAGTTACGAGTTCAAAGGGTTGTGTGCAACAAGCGAGCAGCGCACCAAACGTTCTTTGATCATTTTTGCTAAGTATTTTTGCTGGTTTTGTGAGACGCTTATGTGGAACCGGGCCAGTAAGTAAACGGAATCGGTTATGCTTATAACACACAATCTTGGGTACATTCAACTGGAAAGATTTGCGGCAATTTTGATATATTGTTAACGAATTTCTACTTTGTGACAAGGTTATTTATATATATTAGTTGTGCCTGAAATTTCAGCCGCACGAAGTTTATAACCTACTGGACTTTGTCCGCGTGGAATTTAAGTTTGTTTTCTAAAATAATTTTTTTTTTTCTAAAATAATTGTAGCCTAAGTTACTACTTATTATATTAGCTACATGCCAATAATAGTCCAATTTATGATACAATTTAATTTGCCATAACATATCATTTAAAGTGAACAGCCAGTTTGTCTCTTTAAAAAACTAAATTTCTCTACTCGTATGTATGCAGATTCATTTGTTCGAAATTATCATTTCAAGTACACAGAACTGTGGCATTTACTGGCAGCTTCCGCTACCAAGCAACAAAACATTGGAACAATATCCCGCCACCATCTGACTACCGTACACAGTTTTAAAAAACATCACAAAGAATACTTAGAGAATATTAGAAAAACAAATTTTAGGCATTCCACAGAAATTTCTTGGCTAGCGGTTGCAATCTCACGTAATGATTTTTTTTTTTTTTTTTATGTCACTCTTATTAATATTTTCTTTTTTTTCTTTTTGTTGATCCTTACCACTCAGTTAAAATTATATCAAATTATACTCTGAACTATTTACATTATTTTTATTATACACACACCGCACAGACAGTCACCAATAATATTGCTCTTTTTATTTTATATTTATTTTAATTATTATTTTCACGTACCCTCAAATGGGTTAAAGCTGAAAATCAGTGTTTTGTTCCCTGAACAATGTTCCACGCTGAGCTTCGACCTGTTTGTATTGCTACAGATCACACATAATAACACAATTTTATAAATCTTATGTTGTATTATCTATTGTCTATTCTTATGAACATGTTGTGTGTGATTAGTAACAAACAAATAAACGATATATCTATCTATCTATATATATATTAAGGTTATTAAAGTTTCTTAAGGGTCGGCAACGCGCACGTGGCAACCCTGGTGCTTCAGGCGTCCATAGGCTACGGTAACAATTTACCATCAGATGGGCCGTATGCTTGTTTGCCACCATAGCAGTATAAAAAAAAAATTGACGTCCTCGGTGGTCTAGCAGTCTAGCACACCGCTTTACGTCCGATGGTCGCGGGTTCGAT